ATTCTTTTTGACGGTGTCAGATGGGGTTGAGGTCAGGGCTAAGTGCCAGCCAGTCTCCCAACCCAAACTCAAACCCATTTCTTTATGGCTTTGTGCACGGAGGAGATGTCACATTGAAACAGAAAAGGACCTTCCCAAAATTGCTGCCACAAAGTTGGAAGCAATATTGTCTAGAATATTGGTAATGCTGTAGAAACCATATAGAGTATGTCTGCTGCCACTAAAACAAGGTTCACTTTAACAATACAGGTGGTACTTCCATGCAGTATTAAGCATCTGACAGCTCTATGTGTCTCAGGAGATCATTTGTTCTCTGCTTCAGGTTGAATAAATTTATCATGTGAGGTCTATTCTTACTGTACAGCAGTATCTTTGATTTTACTGCGAGTATATACAGTACCTCTAGATCTAGACCCTTAATATAGCAGCTCCTCTGAGGCAGCGAGGTGAAAGACCAATTTTCTTCACAGCAATTCCTGCTGTAGTGGCTGAAAGCAGCTGCAAGCAGCGGGGAGGGGAAATAAGATCGATACTCCTCCAGCATAGTCATAGTTTCTTCATAATTTTTTTAAGAGATTACAAAACTGGATATTTTGATGTGTTAGTAGAGATTTACCTCTAATCTGCAACTCACTATTTCCAGATGTGATTACGTCAGCTCATATTAGTTGTATTTATTTGATTTGCAGCACTTTTCCTCCACTGGTCATTAAATCCTGGGTAATGTTCAGTTATTTCAAATCCCCTGAGCTCCATACAATTAAAGGTCATGTGCACCCAGTGGTTCTCTTGATTATAGACTTCATTTTAATTGGTGAGCTATTCAAACTGGTGCAGAGACTGGGTAAAAGGTCAAACGATTTTCAGGCCGTGGCAGCAGTATGAAAAGGTGTGGGTTGCCTGAGGAGGGCAGACTATTATTAATTTCATTATACTGTACATCTTTATCTGTAATGTTGCTAAAGACTGTTGCTGAAGAGATTTTTTGCTTTGTCTTAGCTCACCCAGCAGCTTCACTGTCAAGCTGGTTAGATTACAAAGTAGGGAATAGTAATGCTTATTTGGTTTATTTTTAACATTGCAATCTGGACATTGTGTTCTTTGTCACCTATGTACAGCTACAGCTATAAGTAGCTTTATAGCATCGTATATCAATCAATCAATCAGACTTTATTTGTATAGCACTTTTCATACAAGCAAAATGTAACACAAAGTGCTTCACACATGATAATACACCAGCGTAGACCTCAGCTCATAGTGTAAAAGCAAATCTGATAAATGAGTAGAACTAAGACCTTTAAGAGCTTTATAAACCGATAAAATGATCTTAAAATGGATTCTGAGGCACACAGCAAGCCAATGCAGAGACCTTAGGATTGGTTTAATGTGTGCTCTCTTTCTGGTCCTTGTCAACACATGCAGCTGAGTTTTGAAGTAATTTTAATTGAGTTATTTTCTTCTTTGGGAGACCAGAAAGTAAAGCATTACAGTAATCCATTCTGCAGGTAATAAAAGCGTGCATTAATGTCTCTGTATTGGTTTGGTCTTGAATTGGACTTGTACCTCGTTGGACAAAGTCTTGACTCGATCTTGACTAGTCCTGGTCTTGGACTCGACAAGGTTGGTCTTGACCACAGCACTGTACAAAATTAATAGCGTAATTGTTTGCTTCATTCATTAGCATCTAGTTTCCAATCAATGTAAGACAGCAGTGAGGTTGCCCTTTTCAGTAAAAATCCAGCTGTAGTTTTACCATCTACAGCTGGTGATGTTACGTATCATTTCACATAAGTAGCATTTATGCTAACTGGCACACCAGCATGACAGGATAAAAAGTAAGGCTAAAGCACAACACACACATTGCCAGTGTGCGTTGGGCTTTAGCCTTACTGGTATGAGGCACACACTGTCTTCCCTTCTGTGTTTGGGTGGATGACATTTATACCTGGATGTATGCTGAGAATGTACATTTGCTCCTGGGAAATGTGTGTAACTAACATGAAGTGGCTTTTTACTGTTCACACTTTTTAACAACTCAAGGTGCTAAAATCCAGGTACTAGGAACCAACACATCTCAGGCTATATCAGCTCTTTAGGGTGTCTAAAAATAATAATAAAAAAAGTTTACTTAGACATCAGCATTTCAACTGACAAGAAATCTTGAAACCATTATCTGGTATTTTAGCACAGTTAGTGGTTTTGCAAGGCAATGATTTAACACATCAGATCACATTATACAGCATACATTTTTCATACATACTTAAAGGTGTAGTTGAACATTTTAGGCAATATGCTCAATCGCTTTCTTATCTGAGAGTTATATGAGAAGATTGATACCACTCTCATGTCTGCACAGTAAAAATGCACCTGTAGCCAGCAGCCAGTTAGCTTAGCATAAAGACTGGAAGCTGAAAAAAGCTAACCTGGCTTTCATTCATTTTCCTGAATCCACTGTGCTGAGCACTCAACTGGTTAACCCCTGTTAGAGTAAGAAAAAGCAAGTCAGTGAGTTGGATGGATTGCCCTTAAATTCTTAAGTGACAGCAGCCTGGATGAAGAAGCCAAAAGTTTCTGGAAAGCAAGAGGATGTTTCAGTGTATCTTTAGTGTCTCTGAGCCATACACTATATGCAAACAGTCCGCATTATTTTTATTATTAAATTTTTTTAGCCAGAGTCCCACCTCACAACGAGAAGATTCTGGGTCCTTTCTGTGTGGAGTGCAGGATAGGTTAATCAGCGACTCTAAACTCACCATTGAGATCAGCCTCAGCTGTACTTTGTGTTTAATGCTAATTGGCAAGTAACTACGCTAACCCACTATGCTAAGATCATGAACATGGTAAACATTATACATGATAAATGTCACCATCATTGTCATTGGGAGCATGATGGAATACTCATGTTAGCATTCATCTCAAAGCACCATTGTGCCCAAGTAAAGCTTCTCAGAGAGGCTAGCATAGCTGTAGACTCTTGTTATAAGATAATTCAATAGATCTCAGATAAAGAGCCAATTCACCAGCACAGCACTGAAAAAAGACTGCAGCTGCAACACCGAACAGCAACTTTTGTTTGAGGACTTATAGGTCATTCATTTTGTATTTGCAATCAATAACCAACTGTGTGGAGCATTGTAGTCATTGTAAAAAAAAATCTCATAATGGAAATGGAGTTAATTAATGTATAACTCAAAAATCACATGTGTACTGGTCAAATACAACGATCAGTCATAACATTATGAGCACTGACAGGTGAAGTGAATAACACTGATTATCTGGTTATCATGGTACCTGTCAGTGGGTGGTATATATCAGGCAGCAAGTAAACATTTTGTCCTCAAAAGTTGCATGTTGTTAGAAGCAAGAAATAATGGGGCAGTGTGAGGAATTTATGAGCGACTTTAACAAGGGCCAAAATCTTGTGATGGTCTGAGACTGGGTCAGAGCATCTCCTCCAAAACTGCAGCTCTTGTGGGGTGTTCCCAGTCTGCAGTGGTCAGTACCTATCAAAAGTGGTCCAAGGAAGGAAAAGCAGTGAACTGGAGACAGGGTCATGGGTGGCCAAGGCTCATTGATGCACATGGGGAACGAAGGCTGGCCCGTGTGGTTCGATTCAACATATGAGCTACTGTAGCTCAAACAGTTTTTGCTAGTTCTGATAGAAAGGTGTCAAAACACACAGTGGATCACAGTCTGTTGGTATGAGGCTGTAGAACATTATGACCACCAGGGTGCCCAGGGGGTCATAATGTTAAGGCTGATAGATGTATGTCTGGTATATGCCAGTCAATCAGCAATCTGATGGACTGTATACTGTCTGGTCATATCAGGGCTGTAGGGGGGGGGTAAACGCAGGAAAACGCTGTTTATGCCCCTTTTTAAATACATTTTTATAATGTTTCACTCACTTTGCGCAATTTTTTTAAGTTTGAGTCAAACTCTGTTGTTTACTGAGCATTATATGACGGTTCAGACAACCTCTTTCAAAGTGTTGCCTGCCACACGCCTCCTCCCCTCTCCCTCCTCTCCCCTTTCGTCCTCTCTGTAAGCGGACAGCGTGGCCCCGCGCAAGTTTTAATGACATTAAAGTGCTGCTGCATGGGCGCTCACCTACCGGCATGGACATCTGTCAGTTTTTCAGACATCCTCCAAACAAATGGTAAATAGTCGTTGCCTGACTTGTCAGTTAGTAAGATATTTACATGAATTTGCCTTCCTCTGACTGCTACTGCAATTTGTTTCTCTCAGTTTGTGTACAGTTTGTGTATGGAATAGTTTTGTAATTAGTTTTGACAGTTGACATTTGAAATCCATTAATTGAAATAATGAACAATTGAATATTGATTGAGCCATAAGGACTTAAATCCCACACCAGCACACTATATAAACAACAACAATAGTAATAATAATAAAATCATATACTTATAGGGATATATGATTTGGTCTTGTTTAATACCACTACAGCCATGGCTGCAATGTAACTTGGTATGTGCAGTAACTTACATTAACTGTGACATATTTTTTTATATACATCACTTAAAATGGAATAAATGATGATTATTGATTCTTTATCAAACAATGTTAAGAAAAATTGAGTTGCTGTGGAGGTGCTGACAGGAGCTTAAAACCACAGGCAGATGCACTGCAGCCTTGTAGAGGTTTCTGTCAGCACAATGGTGAGTTAAGCAAATCACTGAGAGGTGGTGGCAGGGGAGATCTGTGCTCTGACATACAGGCCGGTGAACAAGTAAAATGATAAATGCTCCCGCTGGCGAAGATGATGAATGATAGATGGCATACAGAGATGTGTTGCTGAAACCTATAATCCTTCTATTCAGTGTCATTTAAAAAGAAAATCAATACTCTTCAGTTGCAGGTGAAGCTGCTCCTTTTGCTAAGGACACAGAACAACATTTGTGATGTACGTTTTTAAAATGAAATGGCATCAAATAATACCACAATGTACATCCACTTAAATGTTTTTTGATCTCATCTTTTAGGAATATCAAATTGACATCATCTTTGCCCAGACGTGGACAGACAGCCGTCTCAGATACAACAGCACAATGAAAAAATTGACTCTGAACAGCAATATGGTTGGACTTATTTGGCTACCAGATACCATCTTCAGGAACTCCAAGAATGCAGATTCCCACTGGATTACAATGCCCAACCAGCTGCTCAGAATATGGAACGATGGGAAGATACTTTACACCTTAAGGTAAACTTAAAAATTCCTGGTTAAGTGAAACCAAAGCTACCCTTTTAGAAGTAGTGCAGGAAGAAATGCAACACAAAGGCAAAGCTTATGCAAATATTAAAGTGAAAATATTACAATTATGTTAAGCATTAATGGACAGCATTACAGCTATAACCAAGCCAGACCTGTATTTATGCCTAAAATCAAGTTGTATATGTTCCACTGTAAAACCAGATGAAACTCAATTTTGTAAGTTAAAAAAACATTTTTGATCAAGAAGCTTCAGAAGTCATTTTAAGTGACCCTGACTTCATCTGTACTGTGAAAAGAAAATACCTAGTATAAGTTACATCACCAACTAACGTATCACATCACAGTGTAGAATGCACAGAACAAATGAGTGTTACTGTAGTTTACCAGGTTTGTCTTTGGTATAGTTTATTTTATGACTGGACACAACTATTGGATCGCAATTCAATTATGATACACACATTCTGGACCCCAGAGGATAAATTCTGTGAATCCCTGGCAAATCATGAGGTTCACAGCAACAGGCTAATACTGTTTGGAGAATTTTGAGACTTCTTGGTTCCTTCTCACACATTTACTCACAGTATATATACTGTATAGACTGATTTATGGGATATTATGTAGGCTGTTATCTGAAGCTGTATCAACATTTCTCAACATGATTCCTATAATTACCACCCTGAATATCCATGTTCTCTGTAACCATTTAAACTTTCCTCTGGGAATCACTGAGGTTTATCAATGCACCAGTCAGTCTATACTGCATCAGACTGGAGCAGTCCTATTCACTAAGAAACTTGTGCGAAATAATTTGTGATGCAAACATTCCCCAAAAAGAGCAGCGCAAAAGCAATTAGTCCATGTCATTACCGATTGTAAGTGCAAATTGCCTGCTTTAAGACCAATTTACTAAGGCAGCCACCCTCGTGCCCCAAAGCACTCTTTGTAATTGGAGCACTCGACATTAATATAAACTGCTCCTTCAGTAATAATCATCTCTAGACTGTCCTCAATCTTTTTTGGCACTGCCCTTATGTTGTGAGATTTTTAATTGACAGTGTTTAAGGACTCTTGTGTGTTTAAGTTGAATGTGTTGTGCATGTGCAAGGTTGATTTAGCACTATACAACTTCCACACAGAGCTTGCACATTTCTGCAAGAACAAAAAAGTAACCTCAAGTCACAAGCAAAGCCCAGCTAGATCCTCCCCCATGCAGCTCTATTGATATTGGGTATTCAGGGGCATGCAAACTTTGAGGAGTAATATCCGTTGATGGCATGAGAGAAAGACAATGAAATGTCATTCGGTATTAATTGTGCATTGGCTTGGCTGCAGTAAACAGAGATGACATTTTGTGATATCCATGCCTCTCCCACATGCATGGTATTGTCCCATTTTCATGCTTTAATGAGGTTTAAAGATCATACCAGAATTACATTACAAAGACTTATTTTCCCTGTCTTATGTGTCCACTCTTAGACATAACATATATGATTTACAAATTCATTTTGACAACAAGGTGCCCTAGGCAAGATTTTCTTTTGGGGGCCCTCCTTACTTTGCCTGGAGCCGGGGACTATGAGATAAAACTTTAAACTATGTTAATAGTTTAACAATATAACGATATTATATAAAATAATTTTTTTAATGCAGACAACTTCAATATACCATACTATATATATATTATATATATATATATATATATATATATATGTGTCGGGCTCTACGACG